AGTTAAAAATCATTTTCAAATAAGTTTAACTAATATATCGCGTTTTAAACCGTTAAAGTGTTTTATTTAAAGGTGTACTAATCGCGTAAACTTTGACAGTATTTAATGGGATTACACCTTATTAGTATCTAGCAGTGCTAGCGACTGTGTTCGGATAGAATAGTTGGGCATAAATTTTTTACCCCCTCCTATTCTTAAACTACCAACGACGTCTTCTCCAAGTTAATTAAAAATAGATATATAGTTACATTTGGATATTTAAAAATTTTTTATTTTGGGAAATTGAGTTTTTGTAGGCAACGCTAATCTACAAAGATGAATAATTTTCCCCGTTTTCAAATTTTACTTCTTTGGTTAAGCATGATGTTTTAGCCTAAAGCCTTTCTTTTATATATGCACAACACGAAAATATTTTTCAATTCAGCCAGCAGTTCCTGAGATTAGCGTGTTAAAACAAACTCTTCAGTTTTAAACATTGGCATAGATTTCAGTTATTGAAGTTGGTGTTAGTTACTTTGTAGACGTAGGCAGCCCTATAACGCACATGTGAGTATGTGAAATCTAGACATTTAGCTTTTAAGCGATTATTGCTGACAATTTTTATCTGTAGTAGAAGTCTTTAGTGCAGATGTCGCAGTGAAATAGCAAACTCTGATACGTATAGTTCTCAATCTCTCTTCGGGGATTTATTTCAGATTTGCGGTAAATACAGCTAACTCTATTTAAAGTAGAGTTTGTGAGTTGCGAAAACTCCTAAGACTTAAGGCGTTTTGACACTTGGCAAGTGATATATCTTATGATAGATGCTCACGTTACCAAACTGTCAAATACACTTACGTTACAACTAAATAAAACAATTAAACGGTTTAAAACGCGATATACATTTGAAAATTATTTTAACTACGGCCCCACGTTTCGGATGCAGGAGCTGTGGTCGCCTCCCCAAATAAGATTTACTAATACGAGTATTTATCGCGTTTTAAACCGTTTAAGTGTTTTATTTAAATATGTCTTACTCACGTAAACTACACAAAGATACAATATAGTATATCCCGATTCCCTTAGTGGGGCCTGGGGCGTACACATTTCTGTCCGTTACACTCACTAGATTTAATTACAAGCAAGTAGCTGACCAGACTGTGTCCTGCCCGACCGAAACAATTTATCGTTTCCCCGAGATTCGAATGTTACACATCTCGCGCTTAACGCATTGCCAAATGCAATATAAATATAATTATTCTTTCTATAAGACATAACTTAGATATAAGTTATTATTATACATAGTGCCTGGCAACTCGAGCATTTTAACATCTCATCTAAAATTACAGTTTAAAATACTTTTAATGCGATCCGAATTGTTTTTACCGCTCCTATATTATATTATTTTCGTTACGTTACTCTTTTATATTGTTTCTAAATACTGTCTATAGTTTACGCGAGTAGTACACATTTAAATAAAACATTTTAACGGTTTAAAACGCGATATATAAGTTAAACTTATTTGAAAATGATTTTTAATAACTTTGTCCCTAAGTTGTAACTAAACATAGCTTGTACAATAAATAACGGTGCCTAGTTCGTTCTTAACTAGCTCTGTCAGCGACTACGTCCGCGTAGAAAGTAATTTTGGGCATTCAAATTTGTTTTTGCACCTCCTTTCATCTTTATAAATTTAAGTTACTACCTACGACGTCAAACGTGTCCCGTCGTTCTGGCGAGTTAATCGTAAAAGATAAACATATATAGAGAAATCTTGGGTTTGGTTTGGTTCGCAACGGCAACACAAGGATAAATTTTCCCCGTTTTGCCACATTTCCCTCTGTTCCTACCGCTCCTATTAGTGTCCTTATTGAATTATAACCTTTAACTTTCCCCGATAAATTCTCTAATTAACACAAAAATATTTTTTCAATTCAAAATCGTAGTTCCTGAGATTAGCGCGTTCAAACAAACTCTTCAGCTTTATATATTAGTATACATATATGTATAGATAGTTTTTGTGAAAAATGTAACGAGAGAACAGTTAGGTAAAGTTAAATAGTCAGAACCGGGATCTAGGAAACGTTGATTGTACAAAACGATTCACTTTTATTTTCATCCGTCGATTTGTGAACGAGTCCGCCGCACAGCCGGATTTGTTGATCGATAAATTCAGTATTCAATGTGCTTAATATCGATTTACGGAGTAAAGTCGAGTATCGTATGGACTTATTTCGAGTTATTTGCAACGCTTAGAGATTTGCTGGTATTAGCGATATATTTAAATGAAACTGTCCGAAACTAATTTGTAGTTAACAACTTTGCAACGACAAATAAAATGGAATATTTTACTTTTAATGTTGCAATCCAAAACCAACAATATATTAAAAAAAAAAAAAGAGAGTATCACAACCTGGATCCCAATAAAACTATATATCCAAAAAAATAACAAACAAAACAGTTTGTCAATTTCCAAACCTAAATTCAACCAATCACCAAAGATAAGTACGTTGATCTTAGAGAACGCATTAGCTCCAGGCAAAACCTAAAGCTGCCATAAATATTGTAAATAATTAACTTTTAATTTTAAACGTTAAAGTGTTTATTTAAATTTTGTAATACACAACCTAATTATATATCCAAAAGACAGTGTGAGTGCAGATTGCAAATAAAAATATACTAAACATAATATATTCTTTCAGTTTTTAGCGTGATGCTCCGTTTAATCAATGCTAACATTTATATATCTCAAAATAGTTTAAAAATAATGACGATACTCAATCAAGTGTCGAAAATGATCTTCCACATTTATCAAACAGCTGATAAGCTGGCTCTGGCGAGTGTCCAAGAGGAGATAAACTAATTTGACGTGCTCCTAGATTGCTATTGAACAGCCATTGGTGGCAAACCTTTTATCTAGATGTGGTTTAAAAACAGCAGATCTATTTTCGCTCACGCTTTCCTTTGTTGGGCCATTAAATTTATAATTTTAGTGGCCCAACTTAATTACTATATATAGTTTAAAGTCTAAATATAATTTTATCTTATTGAAGAAAATGTGAAAACCCCTACCCTCCATATAGACCACATTTCTGTGTCTGATCAGACTGTGCCCTATGCTACCGAAACATGTATTGTTTTTCCCGAGATTCGAACTTAGGCCCTCTCTCCCTTAACGCAATGCTCGGCAACACGCTTTACAATTTAGCTATAGAGGCGGGCGGATTTTCAGATAGCTGAAGTCCAATTATCCAATTATCCAAAACCAAAATGGGTCGACAGCGCATCTGGTGTAGATGTTATATGGCTGGGGTATTTAACCTTCCATCAAGTAAACCCATGCTTATCTTTCCTTTTCTATCATTAAAAAAACACAGCTTAAAATTGCTGCAGAAATAATGTATACTTAGCTGTTGTGTAAGACTTGTAACCTAAATAATTATTTCCTTTGATCGTCTTTAATCATTTCTTGGCCTAGATGTGCGTGAAAATGTTAGTTAAAAGTTGTAATTATAGATATTGCAACAGAGAAAATAGATTGTATTGTTGTACGTTCTTAGTTTTAATTACAATAACTTTTGCTGAAAATCAGCATTGTGCAACTGTTCTGCATTTTGATGTAAGACCTTTTTGTATTTTTCTTATATTTTCATTACAGTATTAAACTCAAACTAATTCAACGCCAAATCAATTAAGACATTAATAATTAATGTCTGTAGTTTACGCGAATACATGTTTAAATATACTATAAACAGTTTAAAACGCGAAATATATTATATTAGTTAACTTATTTACAATATATTTTAACTACGGCCTGAAGTTTCGGATGCTTTGGAGAAAATTCAGGCCAAAAGTGTTTTGTTTACATGAGATATTATTTATATGAGATGTTTTGGTTCCGTAGCTCATTGCATATAATGATTATATGTCTGTTTGTTAAATTGTCAAACTTAATTCATAATTATCTGTATTTAAAGTCTGTAGCACTTATATAGAAAATTAAAAAACGGACATATTTTGGTGTCGATTTTTATGCGGTTTAGGATTTTTTAATTTGAAAAAAAAAAATATTGTACCAATTGTTTGTAAGCCCCTTTTGTACATATAGCATACGTTACCGCTTCAATTACTAACACAATATTATCAATTTGTCCCTACAAATTGATAATATTTATCACTAGTTCGATTATTGATGAATGTACTTTTGATTGAAATGTTTGATGTCAAACTATTTATGAAATTGTCGGTCCATTAAAATTTAGTAATCATCAGTGCTTTGATTCAAAATAGTTTACAACTAGACATTCCATTAAATTGTATTTTTAATTAGTTGAAAATAGGAAAACCACCACATCTATCTACACTTCTTTATACTATATATCATTGTCTTTCGGGCTGTTCGGCCGATGTGAGCGAGAAGAGGTTCTGGACGTTTTGCCATCACGTGTGGACGGCATCATCAGGAGATGTTGACTCCTCGATTGCGAGAAGAATTAATAATTCTTCGAGCGAGCCGAACAGCCCGAAAGACAATGATATGCTGAACGATGGCCGTAAAAGCCTTACACAATTTACTTCTTTATACTAATATACATATGTATAAAGCTGAAGAATTTGTTTGTTTATTTGAACGCGCTAATCTCAAGAACTTAAAAAGGTTCGAAGAGTTGTTAACTCTAGTATTCATATAAATAAAACACTTATAACGGTTTAAGCAAAATTTATAACAGTCTGCTATAAAGCATTCGAATCACCACGCCAAAGTTATAAAAATAATAGCTATTGTTATACATAGAAAGAGTTCTCCCCCGCCCTCATGACGTTGTTGCATCCAAAACGTCGAGTTCTAGTGAAAATAAATTGTAAATATTTTACCTAATAAACTTCGCTTATAAACCGTTAAAAGTGTTTTATTTAAATGTTTAACACATTCCCTAATAAACTAAAACTAAACTGCAGACAATACTTAACTATAGCATTATTAATGAAAACTTAAAGCTATAATAAATTGAGCGACTTACCTCGGTAGCTCTTTCGCTGGACTCGACTGCGTCTCTTGATGAGAGAAAGAGGCCATTTCACAAGATTAAATGAAAATTATTGCACACATTTTTAAACGTCTAATATCTAGCTCGTAAGACCATGCGAGCTATTAAAAAGATCTAACTGCATCTAGGGATCTATAAGCATTAAAATGAGGTTCGTACGTATATTTTTAATAGATCATTGTTTATTAAAAATCTTTATAGAATATTTAGTGGTAGTTAAAATATACTCCGAATTAATAATTATTGACAATTGTCATTAATTATAAAAAAAATATCGATTTTCAAATAAGTTTAACTAATATATCCCGTTTTAAACCGTTAAAGTGTTTTATTTCAATGTGTACTACTCGCGTACTACATACAGTATTTAAAGTAGTATCTGATTTCGCGTTATTAGATCTCGTGAAATTATTTTCTTAACATATTTCTACTTTAGAAGTGGTGGCTTGGGGGTCACTGATAATCAGCCTTGCAACGGTGTTCGTAACGTTATTCTAAGTGGCTACTGTCTCAGTCTCCATTGTTAAAATTTTAAGTCTTATATATGATAATTTGTCTAAGTGTAGTTATTAAGTTGTGTGCAGCTTTTAAATAAATTATTTTATTCAAACATTAAAAAAAACAAGAGAATATTAGAACTAAATCACACAATAAATGTTGCAGAAATTCCGGATATCCAAAGCCAAGTATCCGACAGGGAGCTATGGCTAGGAAAAAAGAATGAACTAACAGCGTACCGTACGACTGTGGGTTTAAGCTTGCAATCGTTGTAAATATTTTTTTAATTTAACACCTAGCTAGTAGATTGAAGCTTATAAAAGCATATATTATTGGAGATATAGAAGCAATTAAGATTTTAATTGATTTTATATCTCCCAATAACGAAGTTCCACTGTTTCATGACTAATAAACGTGAAGTATTGAAGTCGTAACAAAGTGATTTTACTTGTCAAGTTACTCGGAAAAGGCACTGAAGTAATTAATTTTAGTAGCTTTCCACGTGCGATCTAATTCAGTTCCAAGTTTTAGTGCTCGAATCGTAATATTATTTGGGTTTAATATTTGGTTTAGTACCTTCTATTACGTTATTGGATACCATTTTATTGCGTTCAGTTAGCTTATATGGGAAATTCACATAATGTAACCGTATATTTTCGGTAAAAGGTCGGCCAAAGACAAGCCATCGCACAAAGAATTCCGTATGTTTTTAATGCGATTTCTTCACCAAAAATACATCGTCTATGAATATTCTATTAAACAATAGAATATTCATAGACGCACGGATAGAAGCACGAACGAAATATATAAAACATGAAACTGGGACACTTCTTTTAAGAAGCAAGTCTTATATACGGAACCACAAATATAAAAGAGTATAAAAAACGCGTACCACAATTAATCTAATTAGCTATAAAAATGTTATAATTTTCATTGCTTGTTTAATGTCTTGGCTATAAAGGTGTTAATGCTTTTAAGAGAATTGATGTTTATAACGTTTCCTACTGTTTTATTTCCGATTTTAACACTTATTAATATCATCTAATGTTCAAACAGTAATATATATTAATAATATAAAGCTGAAGGGTTTTGTTTGCTTGTTGGTTTGATTGAAAATTATTTTTTTAGAGCCCTTATCTAGGACAGCTATAAAAGATCACGCTGTGACCAACAGGCGAATGAAATAAAAGAAGACGAATTGGAAAAACGGGGATATTTATTTATCATTTGTCAGTTTCTGTTGCGTGGGCTGTGAAAACGGTTCAAGATACCCAAAAAATATGTATTAAAGAATTTTTCTAAGATCTAAAAAAAATTCCACAACAGTATTATATATCTATATTTTAAGACAAACTTGTAAGAACTACGGACGTCGTGGGTAACAAAGATAATTTATAAAGATGAGGAAGAGGTTTGCAAAAACATTTTTGATGCCCAAAAAACTATTCTACGCGGATAAAGTCCCTAACACAGCTAGTCTTGATATAATTTCTTCGATTGAATGAAGCTATGAAAAAGAAGTTTTATTTAAGAATGATTCCGACTTCGCCATAAATATTGCGCTCAAACATAAAAAGCACATGTCACCAGGCCCCATTCAAAAACAATCAAAAACACAGACTCGGTGCGAACTTTATAATTTATTCAGTGCTTAGGACGGTCTACTTTAATTATCATGACGTCAGACGTCGACAATAAAAGCACAAAGTGGGTAGTCATAAATTTTTAACGTCTTACGAAGCTCTAGTGCATTCGGCTCCCTTTGTGACTGGATGGAGGGAAATTTTCATGTATAAGTGATTGTTATATGAATTTCGCTCTTTGAATGAGTCGATGAGAGGTGTGATTTTTAATTTATAGTTTTCACCCTTCCCTTTGATCATTAAACGAATTATGCATAAAATACTGTCTATAGTTTACGCATAGTGCACATTTAAATAAAACACTTTAAGGTTTAAAACGCGATATATTAGTTAAACTTATTTGAAAATGATTTTTAACTTCGGTTTTATTTTTACTTTGACGTCAGAGACATCCTCCATTTTTAGTCTCCCCGTGACCACGGCTGCTGCAAATCATATTCAAATAAGTTTAACTAATATATCGCGTTTTAAACCGTTAAAGTGTTTTATTTAAAGGAATTATGCATATTTAAATAACTCTCCTTCAAACATTAAGGACTAGACAAGACACAAACAAGATGGTCGCGACTGTAAATTCATTATATCGCTACATGTTATATGAAAATAATAAAAATTTTCACAATAAATTGGAATATTAAATAAAGAACATTTTTCCAGTTGTACCATTTTAAATTGATTGATTGAAATTATATTTTTTATTTCCTATAAAAATTACGATAATTTTCGTGAATTTTCCGTCGTTTATTTTCGTTTTCAATTAGAATACACCACTTTCAATAAAAAGAATTCATATAAAATACAATTAACGGTTTGCTAACAGATGGCGCTTACACTCCAAATTTGACATTAGGGACACCTTCTATCTCTTGTGATCGCCACTGCAAACCATCCGAAACGATGGGAAGTAAGTAAAATGTATTAGAAACAATTTATCTTATATATTTTCCGTTTAAACCACTAAACTCTTGCACTACAAGACAATACAATGTCTTAACGTTAACAAATATTTGAGTTTTGAATGAAAGAGTTACGTAAAGTGTATGTTGGGTAACTTTATAACTAAATACTGTCTAACTAACTACATTAGTTAAGCTTATTTGAAAATTATTTTAATAACGGCCCGACGTTTCGGTTCCTAAGCAGCAGCCGTGGCCGCTGGGAGACTAGTCTTTAGTAAACATAAGTTATAAATTAAGTAATACATTTTGCGTTTTAAACCGTTAAAAGTGTTTCTTTGAAATGTGTACTACTAGCGTATTGGTTTAATTATAAACTTGTAAAAGTATTTAAGTTAATCGTATATAAGTTTTGATATATATAATCTTAAAGAACTTAGGATAGACGGATTTTTTTTATGTAAATAAATATACACTAAAATACACTTAACCATCCCACATACCACACATACAAAAGACGAGTTAATAGAAGAATTATAGGTCAAATAGATTCAATTACGTGAAAAAGGGACTTATATGTGGGTAAATACTTCGACGCACTTCATACAGGGTTACCAGTGGTATAAAAAGTGGGATCATGACCCGCGAGCCGAGGTCACGCGGGGTTGAATCGGAATGTACCTCGTTATCATAAGTAATGACAAACGCGAAGCTGACAAGTTTAATTAATTTAACTTTGAGAGACGTTGACGAAATTTTAATATGGCTTATCAGTATTGTTTGTCAGTCTTGGTGGAAAGACATTTTCTACTGTAATCTTACTTCTGAAAAGTGAAATGAAATATTTTTTTGTTTGTATTGTATTTTTGTTAATACTGTCTATAGTTTACGCGAGTAGTACACATTTAAATAAAACACTTTAACGGTTTAAAACTCAGCAACCAATGCTTTGCAGCAGCCGAAACGTCGGGCCGAAGTTAAAAATCATTTTCAAATAAGTTTAACTAATATATCGCGTTTTAAACCGTTAAAGTGTTTTATTTAAATTGTATTTTGTAGTATAAGATGTTGCGATAAAAATAAAAATTAAATGAGTAAGTTGACAAAAATACTGGCAAACAAGGGCGTCATAGAATTTATTTTTAGAAAGCCTTTGACGAGCTCTCTCCTTAGGCGTAAGATCGAGGGAGAATTATGATCAACGGGTTCGATTCTTACCAACGTATTTCTAATCATTTCTTTTCTGAAACATGCTGGATTTCGTCTGAAAATCTGTATATAAAATTGATAGGAATATTGATTCCCGAACAACCACCCCACAGAAGCGAAGTTGGCGTCTTTCGGTTTCATTGTAGATTTCCGAAGCCATAATAGGAGACAGACATCTGACGATAATACAGGCAGAGATCACCTTCCATCAAGTTAAGTGCTTGTCTATCCTCCACTATAAATAAATACTTTTTTTTAACGAATTCAAATTAACATGTGCTATGTGAAGATACGATTTTTAATGTCATTTAATATTACTATTTCAATTAAAATATTTTTAATTTCTTATATTTGTCTGATATTTGTCGTGATCTTGTTTTATCATGCCTTTCCATTTTTGAAGTTGTTCAGTAGTTCCTAAATAGTCGGAATTAAACGAAAGCAATTATATACTCGGGACGAAAAATTCTTTCAGAACGCGCTAAAACAAAGTGTCACCTTATGTTGTTCAAAGATGTTTTTACGTCTTGTTTTGAGTTATGTACATGTTTCCTATGTAATTTAAAGGATGTATCAAAACAATTCCCTGTTGCATATAAGTGGGAATTCCCGTTCCCCCGTGGGGCATGGGGCAAACGGGACAATTCAAAATATGTTCGTTTCACTGATTAGTTCTTTTACAGGCAATTGGTTAATTTGACTTCTATGCCCTTCCCGACCGAATTCGAACCCAGGAATTCGAATCCTCGCGTCTAACGCAATGCTAGGCAACACGTTTAACCA